TAGATGCGTTATCTGCCTCGCATTTCGTTCGAAGAAGCTTAACACGGTTCATATATAATATAAAACAATATAATATAAAATAAAAATAGATACGCTTATCTCTCTATCGAGGATTAAAGAGAGTTCTCAAGTTTAATTCGCAAATTGTCTACTTAAAATTTTGTAAAGAATACCGATTATATAAAACGCAACGGAGAACTTGTGACGAGATATCAGGGTCGATTTAAAAAAAGCGATTCTCGGATAACGGGTCGGGGCGGAAAGGGGTGGAAAGCCGGCGGTCCGGCGATACCGTGGAGGGTTGTCAACGGGAGAGCGGCGTCAGCTTGTGTAACTATCGGTAATTAATCAGAATCATCCCCGCATATCGTGTCCGTCGGACGAGAGCGGGCGAAGGCGCTTCGGCGTGGTGGTGGCCGGTGGTGATGGTGGTGGTGGTGCCTACCACCACGAGAGGGTAGTTAACCGGTGACGTCACGCCCGTGGCGACATCTGGACCGGCACTAACCGCGCCGAGCCGCGTTGTCCGTCCGAAGCGGCGGACACTGGACACCGTACACCGTCCCGGCACTAACTCCCCGGATCCGGATCAAAATTACCCTGCGCGCCCGCCGCGGTGAGGCCGCACGCCGCGCCGGCTGGCACCAATTAATTTCGCATTCGGCACGTTCTGCGCTTCGGCTTTCCCGCCGCGCCGGTCGCGAACCGGTCGCGACATGACTGCCGCTTCGGGATGGACCCCGAGTTTTGAACAGGAGACCCCGTTCCAAGTAATCGGGAATATTGAAAAGCTTGAAATTTGAAAACGAATCTTCTCCCCGTTAATATCGATAAATCGTTGAGCGATAAAGCAATTTAAATTGCGCATTTACTAGAATGCGATTTTAATCGTCGCAGATTCGTTTTAAATTTCCACGGAAAATTAATTATAATCTTTTATTGGGATTGCGATTGAAAGAAATAAGTTAAGTAATTGCAGTCGCTCGCGAAAGTTATAATGTGCTCGGAAATATTAATTTAAACCCGAGCAAGAATGCAACTACGGATTCACCGACGGTCGCTCTTTGAGCGGCGAACAAATTCGGGAACGTCCCTCCATTCTCGTGGCTATCAATTGCGACTAATCCTTCGGCAAAGCCGCCGAGAAACTCTTGTCCAGTGTGCTCTCTGTAGCGATTGCGAGCGCTCGCGACGTGTAATCTGACATTCATCCACGGTAGTGTCAATCGCGTCAACGTCATTTGTAACTCAACGTTCATAGAAATCCGCGCGCGTCCGATGATCGTCGCATATCGATATTCTCCGGAAGGCCGGCTTTTCGGTAGGACAATTAAAACTCGTGCGACTCGGTAGCTTGGTCATGTATATTAGATACCCAATTCCAGCGGTAATCCAGCTATAAATATCTCTGAATTATATTTTCTACCAGGTCCGAGGGCATCGCGCCACGGACGATTTGTCCTAAAAGGGTGGAGGAGGGACGAAGGACGGCGCCGTGCGGTGTCTGTTTACCCGTCAATCGTGCGATTAAATTGGATCGCCGGTATTATCTTTTAATCCCGACGCGACGGTAGAATGGCGCGGCTTCCGAAAAATCGGTATAAAATTTCGCATTGCGCACTGCCCGGCCGTCGGGGTTATAGTCTCGCAACCGGAGACTGAAACAATTTGAAAACGCGGCACGTCAGTACTTTATTTCACGCTGTAAACTCGATTTCCCGTTTTGTACTAGTCATCAATCATCTTCCTTGAACACATAGAGTGCGCGTTACATGTCGTTTTTGTTACAAATTTTTCAGTCGCACTTCAAAATTAATCTTTGTCTAACGGAAACTTCAATTAATTAACAGCTCTTGAATAGAATCATCGAAAATGTGGGACTCCTCTCAAACTCAACTTCAAAAGAGAACGTAAATGACGAAATCACATTTCTCAATTAATTTTTAAAATCACCTTTTCTTTAATACAATTTCAATTAGATTGATAAAAAGATTTAATAATGATAAACGGAAAATGAGGTGCGATAAATGATTTACTTCGACTACTTTCGTTGAAAACAAAATTATCCTAAATTTATTGTTATATCCTAAGTAATAATGTATGTAAATTTATATAAATTTAAACTTATAACGTATGTAATAATTAAAGTTTTTCCTCGAGTTCTTCCAACATCTGTGTTTCCTGAAAAAATATATAAACTGAGAACGTGTTGAAAGTAAAAGGTAGAGAAGCATAAAAAATCATTTGTCAAAAATAATGCTCAAAAATCAAATCGAAATATAATTCTTTCGGAAGGAGTGCTTTGTCTTGCGTTCTTACGAGGTGTCGCGCGATATCGAGCCGCGCATTTCTTGTCGCGGCTTTCAGTAGTTTATCTTCCATCGTTATCGCGTAACGAGGGGCACTTCCCTCCCATCTTTCCTCTCTTTCTCTCCCACTCGTTCGCGAGGGCGGTCGGTAACGGCTAATCCAATCCTATTTACATCGCGGAACTGTCGCGGCAGCATTGACGCGCGCGGAAATAAATCCCGACACGACTACTAACACGAACGCTCGCGCGCGTCCACCACGCGCTGCGCCGCGCCGAGGGCGCGTGTAAATCCCGGGCTTTCTCTCGGAACAAATCGAATGTCGGTCGATGTAAATGAATTCCGCTCTAATTGCAATTATGCGACACGAATGCGCATAAACGTTCGCGTTATGCGATAAATGACACGTCACTCAGAGGCCGGCGCGGAGAGCGGCGCCCGCGCTCGCCCGCTCTCTCACGTCATTGCGAATTTATGAAATGGCGATCGTTATATCCGTATCGGGCCCTCTCGAAACCGTTCGCGTTATAATTGCAATTAATCAATAATTGACGTCATATAATTGGGCGGCCGCCGAGACGACGGACCGTTAAACATTCACGTACCGGCGTCTAGTGGATGGCATACCGAAATGAGCCTTCCTAGACCCTCAATTTTGCACAAGACGCCGCTCGATCGTTAACGAATGTGACATTCTAAATTTAGACAAAAGATTATTACAACTACTTACATAATAATAAATATATTTTTCGTGTTTTTATCGCTGTCTATCTTGATGCACGTGTATTTGAGTCTCATTATTATATACGTATTCAGATTCGAGAATAAATCAATAGTTTTGTTGCGATAAAGAGATATAAAATTTATCATCATGAGCTAATTAGCAACGTAATGGATTAAAATTATTAGTATATTACTTCGCTGATTGATATTGATTATGTAATATTTTTAATTTCTTTAAAAAATATATCCATTTCACGGTCGTAATCGTGAGATACAATTTCAAGCATATTTATACAATATTTAAAGATTATCTTTAAATATTTGGCGAACGCAAGTATATATAATAAATTCCTGTATTGTCGTGTATAATTATTGCGTTGAGTAGTGTCGTTGTGTTATATTAAATTAATTAATGGGTCAATAAACTCTATATCAATAGGTTTCTAGCACGGGTCATCAAACTGAAATTCGTGATGAGAACATCTTTGAATCGATGGAACGTCGACCTCGAAAATCCGAGCCATAATCGATAATACATCGCGTTAGGCAGTTTCAACGCAAATACCACCTTGCCGAGAGTGAATGGATAAAATTGGCGAGTACACCGATCGGTAGATATACCATGTAAATACGCGATGGGGATCACCCTTGTCCCCCGAATCAAATTCCTGGCCGACTCGCCAAGCTGTTTAGCCAGTCCGATTTATTTATCGGCCGGCTGTAATTAGACTTTCGCTTTATCGCGGATTCGTGGCCTCGCGTCAGATATCCATGAACCGTCCGCATTTGTTAACGACCGAACAAACATCGCACAAGTATCCGAACCTGTTCGAATGCTCCGGCGTGAATTTCGTTTTGATAAATCGGCCGTTCGCACTTTCTCTCTCCCTCCGTTCTTTTGAAGTCCTCTCGCCATCTTTCTCTGTATATGTAATGTATACACATATGTGTGTGTATACATATAATACGTATAATATATATATATATGTTTTTTGGTGGTACACGCTTTGAGATCTTCCACCTGTTGCTAAAAAAGAAAACTATTTTGTACCACCATTGCAATCAATATTTGCACTTTTTCTTAGGCTAATATAGTCATTTTCCAACAGAACTTGAAACAATATTTCCTGTATTTTGTAGAGAGTATATGGATATATGTGTGTATACATATATGCATACCATACGTATGTATGAAAAAATAGAAACTTTAGTAGGTAAACGTTTCGAGTATATATCGTTTTCACCTATTTCATAAACCACATTTTATATTGAAAATTTCATTGGAAATTTTCATTCTTTGCCTTTCTTATTTTTCTAGTTAAGAAACTATAAATAGCTAAACTAACTATTTCAAGATTTACACAATTAAAGTTTTACAAATAATATATTGGCTAATTTTCCTAATACAGTAAACTGCCTAATATACTAAATATTTTAAACATGAAAAAAATTATAACTATAACGTAATAAATTACACAACTTTCACTTTTCAATGTGTATTTTATATATCGGTCTTTCCAGAAAATGTTTCACTTGAAAAACGCTTGAGCTCTCACAGCTATGCCGCGATGTCCGATTTGACACTGCCGTTACTACTTGACGTTTTAATCCCCGCGTTCGCCGCATGATTTCCTCCGCGGTAACGAACACTCGAGTGCCGCCATTCCATCGCCTCGAAAGAGCACGCCCGTTCGTGCGGAAGAAGCCAGTTCGCAAGTTCGAGACTCGGACGGGAGAACAGTTCTCGCGCTCGTTACGAGATTAAGGAAAAAGCTCCGAGCCACGAGGGGGTGGCGAGGTGGCGACCGGGGCACCCGGGGCCCACCCATGGAGACGTGCCCCCTTTCAGGGTGTCCTATCACCGACCCGAGCTTATTCCGCCCCTCAAGCTCGGGCCACACCCGCAATCATGCGCAGTTTCCACCCATCGGCCAATGAAAGCGCCCGCCGAGCTTGCAAGCTCGCCGCTCCGGCTCCGGCTTTCGTGCCCGAGCCACTCCGACCAAACACCACGTGGCACGCGTCCGAGTTGCACGTGCATTCGCGGAGCTGCGAGAGCCCGGTGCGCGCGCGAGAACGGGCGCTTGCGAGAGAGCTTGCGAGGAGTCGGAGCGACGGTGTTCTCGCCGGGGAGAGCGGAGAGCGTGTCTCTCCTCATCGCGGAGAATCCCCGTTTCCTTTTCACGCGAGCTCCTTGAACAGCTTCTTTCTGTACCGCGGTCTCTCGACTACTCCGTTACTCCCTTGCTCTTTCGCCCTCCCTCTCGGTTTCTTATCTTTCTCTCTTCTTCTCCTCGGATCCCTCTTTATACTTTTCGACGCGTTTTATATAAATGATCAATTGACTCACTGTCATATTGTCATATTGTACCGTTGTGACGTGAGATTTAACTGTGCTTCGATAAACCCGCTGAGATCGACTCTTTCATCTTCACTGAGAGTCAAGAGCTATTGGCAAGACCAGATTTCAACGAGTGACGGACGAGGTAATTATAAAATTATTTTACTTAATATTATTTCACATCAAAGCATTACGCTTTCATACAATAGAAAATTGAATAAAAACATTTTTGTGTCTTTTAATCTGCATTTCATTGTGCGTAATCAAAGATATGCGTATTAAACATAATTTCTCATAGCTGTCAATGATAATTAACATTCATATATTAAGGATAAAATATTTTTAAAAGCAAACGCACATGTGCATGAATAACAGAACAAATACATTAGCTTGAAATTTTAATATTTTTTGTACAATAATAGAAATATCATACGTGACAAAAATGATTAAAAATAAGATACACTAAATGTTTAATTAACTTTTGGAAACTTCTAGTACATAACATCCTAGTATTCCTTTAGATGTCTGTAAAACTTTAATAGTAATATCATAATAATTATGCAAAAATTTTGAAAGATATTGTTTTTTTATGTTATATTATAATTTACTGATTATTGATTATTTTGCTAAATAAAGAAAAAGTTATGAGAAATTAAACAGAATGTTTTACAAAATCTACTTGGTTCGCACAATGAGTAATAATATAAGTAGCATTATATGTGAAATGTATTTGTAAGTTACATAAAAATCTTTATATAAAAATGTAACATGCAAATGAGATTTTAGAATATAATACGGTACATGTAAGAAAGTTTGACGTATAATAGGCGTCGATGTCGGCTTGAAGCCGATATTCAACAGTTGGTCCTTCTTTTATCTTTGAAACTTAACCCTCGATGCTACCGCCCTTCAAACAGGCACCCTCTGTTCGTACATCCTGAGAGAAGCATTTCTTGAGGGTGTAACGAAAGTATTTAAAAAAGTTTCAGGGAATTTTCTGCGTAAAACAAGGCGAAAATATATTCTGAATAATGAAACGAAATAACGAATAGATAATATCTGAATTTTCCCTTTCATACCTGAAAAGAGAGAGTGATCTTAAATTCTTTTTATATTAGAAAGAGAATTATAGTTTATAATATCTAATAATTTACATGTTTACGATATTGAGTTTAATTAATAAAAAATAGTTATTTATTCGATAGAGGAAAAGAGATTTTATTTTATAATTAATGTTCTTGCTTTCTTAGAGTCAATAATGTTCAAGAATTGTAACGAGTCAATTTATTTTTGTATAATTGTTTCAATTTAATGTTGCGCTGTGAAAAAAAGGAAATATTTAGAAAATTATTATAAGATTAGCAAAAATTGTATAAAATTAGAAACGCGTTTGTTCTAGTGAAGATATCTAAGAAAATCATTTCTTGCATTACAATAGTATTTAATTAAAGATTGTAAACTTGCAAAATTCACTTGTAATTAAACGGAAAGTATGATTTTAGACCCCTTAAGTTTTAGAGAAATCTTCTATTTTTTATCGTTTATAACTCAAACTACTGATTTTTGCCAATGTTTGTAAAAAAAAAAGCTAGTGGTTGGTTAACCGAGAAAGTGGATAAAATTTCAATTTATAAATTTAAGACATGTACACGGCACTCTACACACTAAGAGGACTTTGTACGTTTTGTATGTTTCCTAACGAAATTACCAAATAATCGTTTTATTAATGACGAAATTTTGAAATTCATTATCTTGCTTCATGGTATACGAACACGATATCCCGCATGGTAAACGAGCCAATTCCCAAAAACACCAATCCACCAGTTCGACGATGTTCTTTCTTCGTTCGGTTGGGAGCGAAGGAATTCGTGGACTCGGTGCAATAGGTGCGGCCATAGGTGTAACATATTTATGTTGTGAACCGGCCGAGTGCGAGCAATAAATAGCGGAGGCGTGGGAAGGGTAAAAGAGAGAGAGACGAAACGCGTGTAGAGGGGTAGTTCGTCGAGGCGCGGGGGGAGGGAGGCCAGAGCGATTACGTTTCCCAAACCCCTCGCTCTCTCGCGCGACCGAGTCACCGGCACCACCATCCACCACCGTTTTGCTCCCTACAACCCCCGCGCGAATCCCCAGCCCCACCCGCCCCCCGCGTCTCCACGCGCGCCTCGTCCCACCGGACCCTTTACGGCGTTCGAACAACCCTATTCGTTTGTTTCCAACCCGTATGTGCGCGTACACGGAGGTATGCAATTTCGGTGTCGGGAATGCGCGTTACCGGACGAACGACCGATCCGCATATTGCGTATCAGTGTTGGCGCTCTTACAGAAAAAAGAAAAGATCATTGCCCCTTCGGAAAATCGGCAAAATGTAAAGTAAACTTCAGAATTAATGGACGAGAGAATGCCTTGTAAAAACGCGGTTCTTAAAAATGATAGTCGACATAAACGACGACTACTTACATCGTGCTGCAAGCATTTGATATATCATAAACATCCTATTGGGATTACATAAAAGTTTAATAGATAAAAGTCAAATTATATGATAGATTCTCTCGCAGCTCGAGTCGATTTTCACAGTTTCGTGATGTTATTTCACAGATTTTTTAAGGATATGCGGTAAACACGGACTAAAAGCACTCCAGATACGACAGTGTTTTAAAAGCTGAGATATGCGACATTCAATACGAATGTGCCGATACGGTATTTCGTATTAGCGCCCCTATTACTCTTCCGCTATTACGGTTACCAAGCGACGTAACGTTCTCCGGTAACGAAGCACACGAGTGCATACGGGCACGCCGACACGCGGACATATCGGAACGCAGACTCGTGGATCCGAATCCGGGCGGCATGCTCGCGCAGTTATGCTGAAAATCTTGACTGGAGGACCCTTTCGCATACCGATCGCCCGGGCCAATCCGATCGAGGATATGCATCTGTATATAGGCACGCCGATCGGAGACGCGCCTAGTCGGCCAGTCGGGTAACCAAATGATGCATATCTCTCCTCGATCCGTCGTGTCCCGAATGTCTCGACATGTTGCACGCTCCCGCTTCGCAGGAACGAGGGGAGGATGGAGGGTGAGAGCCATAGGATCCGTCTCTCCGTCTACGTGGGTGGGCGAAACTAGCTCGAAAGCCGGGTGGAGGACCAGCTCGGGGAGGGCCAGCGTATGGTTGCGATGAGGTCGAGAGCTTGCGGCCGGATGCCAGTCTGACCATGTCTCTACCGGTGCGTTACTTGCGAGCTCGTCAACCTCTCGCTCCTAGACGCATCCTCGCCAGAATCCGAGCAATGCGGCTCAAGAGTCCGCGCCCGCGCCCGCGCCGGCGCTGCAGCTGCACTCTAGGATGCAGCTCTCGGCTGCTCGGCAGACCGGGCGCGATTCTCGACGGGGATTGGCCGGTCGAATATCACCGAGACGGGGCATTGGGGTGGTCTTCAGTGGCTGCCGGTATGCGTGTAATAGGGGGATCTTCGCCGTGGTATCGAAGGAAAATTGCAATTCCCCATAGACAGAAACGATAATGCAGAAAAGTCTCATTTATATCTCGATTTTTTAATTTTTTTTCCGTTCAGGAGTTCTCCTCCTCTCTTAGCGATATTCAATGTGTGATATATCGAATGTGAGAATAAATACTGTATGTTAAATTGTATTTAAAATAAATATGAAACTAGAGAGAAATGTAGATTTATATAGGTTGATTTTATAAATTTCGCATTTAGCGGTTTAAATTCTGGTCAACGATGCTTTAAAATTCAATGTTATACATCAAATTCGTTGTTATAATTGTGAAATTTGCATTGCCCATTGTGCATTACATTAATAATTGGGTCGACTCCGTTTAAGCTTTTAATCAAGCACTGACAAAATGTGCGCGCGTTGCGTCGATCGCCGGCCGTATTCCCTCTCGCTCGATGTGACGAAGGCGCGTCGAATGCGGCTTTTGCAAATGAATTTTTCGGGGCACGCCATCGTTCCGCGTTGATACGTTTGCATCGCGGTGATTTCGCAGGGCACCGAGCTATATAACGCGCGAGGGGCCGCGGGTAACGAAATTCCCCCGATGCGTGCATCTCACGCATTCCGCAGCGAGATTGCGCAAAAATCGAGCGAAACAAACGCAACTAATTTAACTGCTTTCGAACAATTAATCCGAAGCATTTAATTTAATTGCGCCGCAGCCCGTCGAGTCCGGCCAGCGGCAGTCGAAACAACGACCGGCGCAAAACCCGGGACGGAATTTTCGGCTCGACGCGATGGCTCGAATTCTTTGGCGCGTGTAAAACAAAATAAAAACATTTGACAGTCGAAAGTTGATCCGGAGAAAGAGCGCGATTGTTGCAACATCGACATTTCATACGATCTGTTTAGTAAAAAATGTCTCATCGAACATTTTAATAGGCATATATTATACATACTTTCTTTCTCCTTATCTCCCCGTTTTATATATATATATATATATATATATATATATATATATATATATATAT